TCCTAGAACACCAGATGGCAATCCATTAGATTATTTCGTGTGGGGTTTCATTAAAAATATGGTTTACTCTACTCCAATAACAACAATGGAAGATATTAAATCGAGAGTTACAACTGCTTTCAATAGTTTGACTCCAGACTTGATCAGAAGCGCTATATCTGACAATCTTTTGAAGAGATTACATGTTTGTTTAAGTAGAGGTGGAGATGTGTTTGAACATATTCTGAAATACACTGACGATTAAATAAACTCATTAATTTATGGGTTTATAATTTTCAGTTCGTGTTTCAGCGTTAATAAAACTATTGTTTGAAGAGAAGTTTCATTCGATGGTTGGCGACCACTGGTATAGCGAAACACGTGTTTCGGTTTTGTAAACTTTTCAGTGGAAATCTCACAATAAAGTGTTAGTTACAATACCACACGAGTATCATTCAAAAGTTGAAAACCATTATTCAGTAATTATAAGTTTTATCATGCCTGGGTTATGTTGCTACCTACTTGAAACATTAGCGATAATCGACAAACGAGGTTATTTCAGATAGTGAACGATATTTTGACAAAAGTATTGAAAATCGTGAAAGAATGCTAAAAATAAGTTTTATCGTTTTGAACGTATATACGAAAAGTTCCCGTGCTTCAAACCAAACATATACAGGTTGACCACTGAAAACGAAACAAAGCTGGTTTCTCATAGTAGATGTTTAGAAATAAATCACTTGGATCTGTTAATTGTTAGTTTGTCATTTCCACCTCATCGATGAGATACATAAGACCGATGTTCGTGGTAAAAAAGTAATGCAGTTTTTACTATCTTCCGTTTAAAGTAGAAGTGATGAACTATTAACATCCAGTTTATCGATATTCTTACTCTGATAATAGACATGACGGTATTATTTACATGACGGTATTATTGCTGAATCACTGCATAGTATAAAGTAAAGTCGGTTTCCGCTGTCTGTCCCTATGTACGCTTAGATCTTTAAAACTACGCAACGGATTTTGATGCGGGTTCTTTATCAGATGGAGTGATTCAAAAGGAAGGTTTATATGTATGTAACATGCATAATATAGTAGAGGTTTCCAATGTGATGTCGTAAATAAACACATTTGTTGCGTTTCCATTGCAAACGCTGGCTGAACCCCACGAGATAGATCAAGATAATGTACTACAGTATTATACACCTCAAAAAGGTCTACAAAAAAGTCCGCGCTGGTAAATTAAGTACCTTTAATTATATGTGCATTTAATATAAATCACGTATAAGGCATGCAATTTAAAGGAAGATTCTCGAAGATATTACAGATTTGAAATGCAGGGACATAGCGGTTGCGGCAGTACCGTGCTTTTGAGTTTGGGGGGTCTGCATGACAGAATGGTACTGGATGGAGCCTGTAAAGTCATCAGGAGTTCGGATCCCCTTCTCTGCATGGTTCGCGGCCATGAGAGAAAGACTGGGAGCAGGTAGTAGAGCATTATTTTAGGGCAGCTGCCCGGCTGATGAACTCGGTTTAGTATTCGACAATGGACGAAGTGATCACAACTCTGTCACTGAGTTGGAACCCGTTCAGCAAAAGGCACATATAAAAGCTGCATATCACAAGGATATGCCAATGCACAAGGTCTTCTTCAACATCTTCAATGTTGTTGAAGGGCGAGGCGCTTGATACCCTAACGCACTTGCTGTCAGCATGTCTAGTATGTCATGCGGTCTCAGCCTAAATCCATGCATATAACGAGGCCCCAAGAGTGCTTTATTACCACCTACGGTATTTTTACGGTATTAACGAGACACCGGTGTTGCCCTACGCTCCAGGGGATACTGAATCCGTTGTGAGGAACGAGAAGTGCCGACTTTATTTATCTCGACCATCAAAGCAAGACGATTTTTGTCGTGGAGTTTTCAAGTCCTCAGGCTAGACGACTATCACCCGAAAAGAGGAGGAAAAAGGGATAAAATATCGAGATTTTCTCTTCGAACTCCACTGACTCTACCCAGACCACTGTCAAGGTGGTTTTAGCCGAACAAATGCAGAAAGCTGTCATTTTTGCTCAGAGCACATGACCCAATTATTACTGACCCCACGGTGTAGGGAGTGGTTATTGGTTGATAATGCTGGCAAGTCCTCCTGAATGTATCGGGGCTTCGAGGATAGCGCCCGAACTGCGCAACCTTAGTGAAAAATAATACTAACATGAATGCATCTCAATATGAGTTTGCATCCCAAATTGTCCGTTCCACGGTTATACTTCCGCCTGACAACAGGAAGGTACTAGACTTTTGAGGTCCTGATGAACTCCTGATGACTTTAAAGTCATCAGGAGTTCGGATTCCCTCTCAGCAAGGTTCGTTCGCGACTATAAGAGAGCCGGAAAGACAGTATTTCTCTTCAAGGCAGCTGCCCGAGCGGCTGATGAACTTGGTTTATCTGTATCTGTAGAGTAGGTAGGGTGAGTGTAAGCCCACAGTACTTAGGCCACATGTCACCCATTGTACATCCTCCCGAAGAGTTGTCCTCCATCCTGTCCTTTCCAGGAAGGTGGACAGGTCACTGGGAGACATCTCCTTTATATCGGCAGGTGTAGGCCAAGACTCGCCGAACACACACTCTCTTATTGACGATAACTCCGGGCACTCGCACAGGACATGCCTGACAGTCTCATCTTCCTGTTCACACATCTTGCATAGAGGTGTGTCCACCATCCCCATATTATGGAGGTGTTTCCTTAGTTGACAGTGATCAGTCAGAAATCCTACTGTTAGGCGTAGATTTTACCTGGTCATTGCCAAATATTTCTTCGGCGCCAGCTTCCCAGGGTCACCCAAGGTGATCCTAGGTCCTAAAGTTCTTAGTGAACTTGGTTTAGTATTTGACACTGAACGAGGTGATCACAACTCTATCACCGAATTGGACACCGTTCAGCAACAGTTCCACATGAAAGCCGCACTTCACTCTTGCGGCAACACACGAGTAGCCGGCAATTTCTTAGATTTTGGGACCAATTGATAATGATTTACTATCGTTTGACAGTTAACAGTGTTCACATGTTATTTATTAAAAGTGTTTTATTTAAATTCTTTTATATTACACATATAGTGGTTTTCACAATGAAATATGGGAATATCATATTTCACAGTAAGTAAATTTCATATCGTAATTATAAATTTTAACCTCAAATTGGAAACGGGCCTGTCTAATGTTCCGTAAACGGAAATATTTAAATTGACAGATATCGGTGTTGAAAATGACCCGAAATCGTAACATGAGACGTCCATTATTAGTGAAATGACAATTAAAAGCATTCATGACCAAAAGGTTGCGTTGTTCGTAGCAGTAACCGCATAGTTTCGTTTTCGTTAGTTTGTTGACTTATATCGAATGCATGTGTATCCTTCAATTGCCCCAACTGTCGATGATCTTTAAAACGAGATATAGTTTGTCCTTCGCATCCCGCCGATGAAGTAGAAGTGAAGTGGAAGATTGAAAATATGCTTTGAATATTCAAGCCTTGTTGCCTTTTAATTGGACCACCCCGTAAAATGAAATAATCATTGCTGCGTACATTAGAATGCCATTTGTTGAAAAACCAGGTCTTGATAGTGAAAATTTGCATAGAAATTCGAATTGAAGTAAAACTATCCTCGAACAGGTTGTACAGATATTAGTTATGTACGTAGATAATTGAAGTGTCGCATTTCTGTTACTTCCCTCACAATCTACATTTTTGATAAAATACTTTAGACAAGTTTTCTTCAGTTTTGTAAGTCCGTCGTCGGTCATGTTTGTTCGAATTTACGTACACACTCAATAGTAAATAATACTGTGTAAAATTAATTAAATACAGTAATAACCACAGTTTTGGACAAAAATATCACAATAAACAACAGAAACTTCTAACCAGCAAATGAAAATAGTTCAACATAAATGGAATGGCGACTGTACATACTGTATGACGTCACATCCAATGGCTGGGCGTTTTTGATCACGTGACGAAATTTAAATGTTCAGTAAATTTTAATTGTTTCTATAGGACGAATAGCATTTAAAAAATTGTTTTTTTTGTAATATGTAATGATATTACAATTCTCAATGCAATTTTCGTGGTAAAATGTTTATGCAAGTTCCCTATTCCGGAGCGATGCTCATGCGACGATTTTTTTGGTCAAAATGTAGCAATTTTGGAAAGAACTTCGCTGCCAAACGCTTCGTGCACAAATTTTCCGAAAAGATAGCATGACATGAGCAAACCGATATGCCGAGATCCTCAGCAACTTCTCTAATAGTGACTCGACGATTCTCCATAACGATTTTCTTCACCTTCATCTTCTCGACCTTCTGTGAGAAGACTGTACCACTTGTAACATATTTCTGACTCAGAGTACAATCACCGTATGCCACTGTCAACATTTCAAGTGTTTTTGAGTACTTAATTCCATTCATTTTCCTGCGTGCAATAAAGATTAATTGTCACAANTGTCGATTTGAATGGATTAACTACATAACCATCTGCTGTCTCAGACGTCGAGTTCGTCTGACCTTGAATACTTTTCCAATTGCCAAGTTTGTTGAGTAATTTAGATTCAAAATACTTCCACCCTACCATCTGTCGTTATATAAGATTTATATGAGTGCTTTTAATTATGCTAGCACACCAAAAATAATCATGCATTGCAAAAGCTCAATGAGAAATTCAAATAATCAATTCCCACAAAAAATATAATGATTATTAAAAGAAAAATTGCAATCTACTAATTCAAAATATGGAGCGGTGGAAGAAAACCAAAGTACCAGAAGTTTAGTATTTTTCGTGGCTATCTGATGGTGATCTCGTATTTAACCTTGACTATGCCAATTACTTGAAGGTCAAGGTCAGTTTTTTAAACAGGAACCTATATTTCTATGACGAAAATGAAAAAAGGGGAAAAATCACAACTAGATATGACCTTGGAGCCGGCAAATTGATATCTGAAGATTATATTATTTGAAGGTCAAGCTCAGTTTTTAAACGGAAACCCATATTTTTGTCTCAGAAGCATAGAAAGCCGAATACTTCAGAATATCTATGAAGGTCTTTTGAAGGTAAACACTGTAATCACTACAATTTGCCCCCCTGCGATATTTTTCTGTTCCCAAGATTGAAAAAACCCATGAAAGAACGGCGTTTTGCGACGATTGAGGAGATAAAAACTGAATCGCTGAGGGATATTATATCTCAGAGTATCTACTTTGGAGGGAACAAAATAATGTTTTCCACTACTGTGCTTCTGCATCGATGATGATGCAACACCTCTGTGTTGTACAAAGAATATTCTCCAAATTCCAAATCGAAATATTTGATATCAAATTGAATTGGCTTCAAATTAAATTTATCATCAAACTTTTTAGGCACATTAAAAGTTGGGGTAAAAATTTCGGAGCCTAATCAAGCACTTCGTCAGTCGTTAACTCGAACAAGTTTCAACTTTTGAGGCTTGCTGTTTATAAATGGGTCAGACTTGGTCAATGGAAAACTTTTTTAAGCACCTATTTCTCACTGATTATTTCACAAATCCCCATTACACTTTTTGAAACTCTTTCTGTTTCAAGTGATTGGTTAATACAAATACATTATCCAAAACAACAGAAAGAATGGGACATGTGATTTCATTTTAAATATTTTTGGTTCAAGTATCTAGTGAAATATTTGAAAAAATATGTCTAATAGGTAGTATGAAACAGTCAAATATTTTATTTCAAATTTTGAAATTAAGCTATACACTTGAATATGTTATTGAAAATATATTTATTATATTCTACAGAGGTATATTTTATATGTGAAGTAGCAAGGTTGAGTATTTTTTGGGTGTATTTTAGCTGTGAAAGTACTTAATTTATTGTGAACTCTGTAGTTGTGTAGATATATTTCAAAAAATAATTTTGACTACTCCAATGAACTTTATTATATACTTTGTGTATTCTACTATATTCTACTAAATAGCAATCAATTCAATAATGTTATTTTTCACTTAATATTAAATGTTACTGTTTTTCACATGGCATATACCTAGAGTAGACAACTATCAACAAAAGAAGCAAATATTATACAACTCCAACTTGAATAAGGATTTTCCCAGTTTAAGAAATAGGCCTGACGTGTTTATTACCAAGGGAAATGTATCAAACAAGATAATGAATACAGAATGATTCATGTTATTCATTCCTGGAGGTTATCATCAAGAAATGGAAGTTAGCAATTTTCAAACATTTATTTGAATTATTGAATAAAAATGTCACTCACAGTTACAACAGCATCCTTGGCAATTGATTTTCTAGACCTTATTATCATTCCAACCATTCGCTTCGACGATTTTGCCTTCATTTTTTCACCTTCCTCGATTTCAATGTCCATCGAAAACAATTTTAAAAACACTTCCAATATATCATTCTTCAATTTATTATTATCGAACCACCAGCAAATAAAAACGTCCCCCTAATTGCAGCCATAACCTTTAACACTGCTTGTTCCATGTCAGGTATCAGAACTGCCACAAACAGAAATTTACGTTCCGTACATTGGTTAGTTCTTGGTGTACTTTAGTGTTAACAAGGGTAATCTACAGATTGAATAGTGAGGACGCCACAGAACTTAAACTCTATGTTTAAGTTCTGTGGAGGACACATATTTTTTCGTCACAATAAATGTCAATGTCAAATACATTTCTCCAGTCGCTTTTCTGTTTGAAATATTCAAATTTGAAAACAGTTTACAATTTAACCCGATTTGACGTTGAGTTGAGGCGCAGTTATTGAAATGTCGTATGTGGAAACTATCGAAAGTTTTCATTGAAATTAAATGTGGTTAGGTTTTGTAAAATTTTAAAAAATCGTAGAATATAGGAAGACTACCACAACCTCATCAGGAATGAGATGTGGATATATGATCATAGCAAATATAATAAACGGTTTCCTGCAGCTGAAAAAGCAAATGTGCCACTGGAATCAATGAAGTCGCCCCGGAGCGCCAATTAATTTTTATTGTTGTATTTATTTTATTTTTATCGTTGTTTTAACACATTGTAATAAATAAACGGTAATAATAACGAACGGTATATACTCAACGTATAGTCATTCAATATTTCAGAACATATACCTCTTACAGAAAGTCTGGCTATAACTCTAAGGTAGACATGCTGAACTTTTTTTTCTGTAATTTTTCAATCGTCTTCATTCGTGTTCTTTATCATAAACAAAACATGAAACAACTTTTGAGTTGTAATTTTTTCATTATTGAAAGAAAATGACAGCTACCAACAAACTACGCATGTTAACGTACTGGACAAGTATGGACGCCAAAAGTTATGATTATTTTGCGATTCGCAATCAAAATGTGAATATTCGGATAAGCATAAACGAACCTTCGGAATAGCTTTCTGCAAAGATCAGCGTTACTAGTGTTGTTTTATTTATATTGAGAAATTATCAATAAGAACAAACGATTTCAATATTGTTGAAATAGCATCCAATCAGGTTTAATGATTCGAATGTCAAACTTTGAACAAACCTAAATTGTTGCTTTATGGAACAGTAGTCACGAACATTCAAATATTCTTAGTTACATCTGTCTAATCTAATATTAGTTCACATCAATATATCAGCTCTTCACAATAAATAGTAAATCAGAAGTAATTAGTTATCAACCGAAGGCAACCTATAGCTTTAGCAACCATTTCTGTTAGGGCAGATAAAAAATCAGCTTTGACTAAGCCGCAGTACTTGTTACATTACTGCTTGATACTTACCGTCCTAGTAGCGCTGGTCTTAAGCCTGTCTTCTTTAAAAGACTTCTCAACTCCTCGTCGCATAATTCTAATAAATTCATTTTATCCATATGTAGATAACAAAAGAACCATGAGTGTTATGATTATTTTGCGATTCGCAATCAAAATGTGAATATTCGGATAAGCATAAACGAACCTTCGGAATAGCTTTCTGCAAAGATCAGCGTTACTAGTGTTGTTTTATCTATATTAAGAAATTATCAATAAAAACACAAACGATTTCAGTATTGTTGAAATAGCATCCAATCAGGTTTAATGACTCGAATGTCAAACTTTGAAAAAACCTCAATTGTTGCTTTATGGAACAGTAGTCACGAACATTCAAATATTCCTAGTTACATCTGTCTAATCTAATATTAATTTACATCAATATATCAGCTCTTCACAATAAATAGTAAATCAGGAGTAATTAGTTATCAACCGAGGGCAACCTATAACATTAGCAACCATTTCTGTTAGGGCAGATAAAAAATCAGCTCTGACTAGGCCGCAGTACTTGTTACATAACTGCTTGATACTTACCGTCCTAGTATCGCTGGTCTTAAACCTGTCTTCTTTAAAAGATTTCTCAACTCCTCGTCACATAATTCGAATAAATTCATTTTATCCATATGTAGATAACAAAAGAACCATGAGATACAACTTCGTTCAATTTAGGTCATTTTTTAAACCTTATATATATTTTAACTATCTCAACCGAATATTTCGGTCCAAATAATTTTGGTTAGAAAAAGAATACTTTTTCTTTTATTCCTGACTTCTGCTTATCTTTCAAGGTGCATTAGCCCTCTGACATCAATGTTTTTTTTGTTGCTGAACGTAATTCGTTTTTCTAATATGAACACTTATAAATTAATAAACTCTGGCTAATTTTGTTGTAGCGTGTGGCTTTTTTACAGAATACTGTTTCGTGCTCAGACAGAGTTATTAGTTTGAGAATATTCTGTTAGAGTGCTCTATCCAAGTCGTTTTGACGTTTCAAAAATTCGCATAGCCAAATATGGGATTTCTTGAAATTGAAGTGAATTGGATATGAACTGTCTCTTAAAAATATCTTTTTTTTTCGAATCATAGTAAAATTTAAATGTGACTTCATTCAAACACGTACGTTAGATAGCCTTCACTAAAAGAAACTAAGGTCTGTATAATCTTTGCCAACAAAAACATGCAACTTTTAGGTTATGTGTGAAAAAATATATTTATGAACATATTTTGAACTTATTCTAATTATATATTTTTTTATCTTATAGATGTCTTTCCGAGTTGTACGTAGTTCTAAGTTCCGTCATGTCTACGGCCAAGCCTTGAAAAGAGAGCAGTGTTATGACAATATCCGTGTATCGAAAAGCTCTTGGGATTCAACTTTCTGTGCTGTGAACCCTAAGTTCCTGGCTATTATAGTTGAGAGTGCTGGAGGAGGTGCGTTCATAGTCTTACCACATAATAAGGTAAGTGTTTTAATATTGGTAGGAAAACTCTAAGAGACTAGTGAGAAAAACGCTTGGTTATCTGATAATTCTCCGTTTTTTGGCTGCTGCTTGGGGGCTTATTGCCTCCTCCCCCTATATTTTTTATGATACCTATTCCAACAATCATGTTTAGTGTTCTACTTTGTACAGATCCCTAGTATAGACATGATGAAATATGATGAGCTGTGTATATCCTTTTGTTGAATTGTCATAGGCAAAGTTTCTGTTATAAAACCTAATTGATTCAGTTGTCCTCTCAGTGGAAAGTGTTTAATGTGTATCCAATAATTATTTTAATGTGTATCCAATAATTACTCTGAGCCAATCTTTGCTTTGTTGACCCCATTATAACCTCCCTGACTGCAGTATTGATAATATTTTGTAAGTAAAATATTGGTTTGTAATTAATATTCCATCATTATTATAGTTGATACAGCATTTTTTATTGAAGGGTCGTTCAGTCAAATCTAATTTTGAGCTTTTTCAATTTGCTTTTTGTTATATTATTCATTGGGATATCCTTCCAAAAGAATATTATTTTAAATTATTCCCGATACGTCATAAAAAAGTATAGTATTCTTACAGCTAAGAATGACCATTCATATTGACAAACTACATTCTCGTGAGTAATGGCTTAAATAATATAATAATATTTTATCATTACTTTGGAATAAATGTCTGATGTGTTTATATTAAAATGATCCTCGCAAACAAAAACAAGTTTATTCAAAGCACTCCTTTCTTCGCATAGTTATTCATAATGATAACATTACAAACATTTTGTTTGGTGCATTTCGATTTAGATAAGTACATTCACCTACTGTACAATACTTATTGGGACATTTTTGTCTTCCATACTACTAAAACATAGACAACAAAAAAATAACTTTATTTTAGCATTTAATTCAGCCCAAAATACACAGATTGTTGAATAGGGACACCTCTATTACTAAGAATGACAATTTTGCCATTCATGGGTGTATCTTATTCATCACTTATTTAGAAATGTCTGATACTTATGGCTAATTCCTGCATGCCCCCTTTTGAGCCGCTTCTTTGAGGATACACTTCGCATCAGTTTTTTGCAAATATTCTTCAAAACACGTTTTTGGAATTGAAAAATATGAAAATGATACTATTGTATCATAAGAAAACTTTCATCATTTGACTCATTCAAAACCAAATACAAATCTGATTCATTTTGTTCTGTTTTTTCATTCAGAACCTTTTTTTGACACATCAATATATGTTACTTTTTGTCTTTTCATATAAACAATAAATTTATTCATAACAGATGAAATCCAATGTTATATAAGGATATAGAACTTTTACCATAAGATGTAATGGCACCTCTGGAGAAGGTATCGACATTAGTTGATATGAGATTAACAGTCTAGGAAAGGTGTTACTTAATGTGCGAAGCAGGGTGCTAGTTGAATATTCTTTTTTTGTTTTATTTATTGTAGGATAGGTTAGGTTAAATTTACATTTTATTTCATTGAAAATTTTATTGGTAAATTATTTTATTTGTAATAAATGAAGTACCTTATTTATTACTAGGATTCATATCAGACGTTATATTTGATATATAAAGGTAAGAAATTGAAATGAATTCAATGTAATTTGCAACCTAACCTAGCCTACCTAGCAACCTAACCTAGCCTACCTAGCAACCTAACCTAGTAAGTACAAGAAAGCAAAAATGGTGAATGTATTATTCCATATTAAGAATCCTGAATAAAATAAAAAAGTTTACTATGTTAGGGCTCAAGTGTTGATTCACACTAACAAAATAATTGCAAACACCTCCCAAGACTTGATTCTGGACTCAGTAATCTCAATAGAGTATGTTTCCCATTTGTCGTAACTTCTTAAGCTATTTTTTCACTTTCAATTCATAGAAAATTAAAGTAGAGGCAGATAACTTCATTACTGTTTTTATTGTATAAATACAATTAGGAACCCTGAGAATAGCAATAAAGGTCTTGAAAAGTTTATTGTGAGTGATGTTTGTGAAAATATATATTGAATAGAAGTTTCCCAACCTTCCTACCATTCTGAATTCTGTGCAAATTTCTTCAACGAGAACATCTATACAGACATCACAAATGCAATCCAATATCCGTCATCGTATTAGACAGGAAAGGAGTTGTTTTCTGGCTATCATTTGTCAAATCCTGTGTAGGGAGGTGGATGAAATCAATGTTTTTAATCTACTTTATATATCACTATACTATTGATTTTTTTTTGAATATGATTATAATCATTTCCAAGAAACACTTATGTCCTAAATAATTGTTTGAAAATCAATTTTAGTGTATTGATTCTCTTTGAAAAAAATGTAGGTAGCTTAAACATATAGTGATAAGCTTTTTAAACCTATTTTATCAAGAATCTCTAAACTTTGAGAATTTCAATTACTTCACCGCATTTTCTGATTATATCAGTTTATCTCTTAGTGACTCATTTACCTAAATCCAATTTGAAATCTTAATCAGGTCTCTCAGAGCAATTTACATTTGGGGCTGGCTATTTTTAAATGATTTGGTCTATATTCAGTTTTGACTCTGTGCCAATTTTGTTGCACATACAAGATATATAAAATTACTGCTCTCGATAATTTGAAATGGATGAAACTAATATGATTGATATTTTATGCTGGACATTTCCAAAACGATCCTAGATTTTGAAAGAACAAATCACAATTACATTTTTCATTCATTTACTCGATCCCGTGATACATATTTCGATATAGTAAACAAGATTTATTTAAATCCTATGAATAGTCTCCACAACATATTATTCTGCCAGAAATATTTGGTTCTACGAGGATTGCAGAACACCTGTCTCCCAGACTTGAAAAACATTTTTCCGCTAGATTTTTCATAATTTTATGCTGAGAACGATTTTTCAGAACTAGGTTTGAGCATTTCACAGAACAAAAGTTCCTTTGTGCAATATAATGGTTGTTAAAAAGCCATGATAATTGAAAGCCCCACTATTTCATTACGATAATCAATTAGGTGAAATGAGATATGAAAAATAAAAATGTTATTAATTTGAAATTTATTATAAGCTATTATGGGAATGGTTGAACTTATATCTCCTTGAATGGAGATGAGTAGCATACATCGAATTAATTTTTCCTGTTTCTATGTTCTTTTATACCTGCTTCAAACGTTCTTCCAGTTTGACCTATGGAGAACATCATACATGACAATTCATAAACTCCTGATCTATCCGACACACAGTAGTACTCGACTGGATCATGATTGCTACGTTTGAAATTTACTGTTTCTAACGAAACCATTTCCGAGTAAGAAGTGTGTCTGATTACTTCCCCTGCGAATATCCCAATAGCGGTCTGATGCAAAAACCATCAAAAAGATAAATAGGGGAATTGGTTTAAACCAACACGCAAATATTGAAATATTTGTGGCACATAAAAGTTTTCTTAGAACTTATTGTTTCAAAACTGTTACAAAAGTATTTACTTGTTCATCGTTTGCAAATAATGATTAGGTATCTATATAGTGTTATCATGTGGAAATGAATAGGCTGATAATATTAATTGGTTCTAGGATGTGGTATTTGAAATGCATAATTTCAATGGAAAATTGTCAATAGTTGAACATAAAGAAAATGCATTTTTTAATGAGGTAGGGCTATTTTAATTTTTCTCGCTTTTTGGACCTATTTTTGAAAATTTCATGTTTCTCAGAAACTATTCACATTTCAATAGTAAAAGTTGGTCACCAAGATTGAACTTGAAACTCATGAACAAAAAATTCAGACAGAAATTTTAGTTTTTCTCAAGTCCCAAATCTTGGGGTAAAAATCCATTAGTTTTAATTGTATTGGTGCCCACCTCATGATTACTTTAAACAATAGTAGGTCTCATACACGTCCTACTATTCTCATTTATCATAGTTTTCCATCAACAAGTTTACGAAAAATAAGTAACCTAACAAGTAACCAAGATACATAGGTACAACAATATTTATGTGTGATGATGCAAAATTTTTGGGCACATTCATCGACTCCAAAATGCACTGGAACCGGCACATTGACTTTATCTGCAAAAAACTCAGTAGCCAGTGCTTTGCGATTAAGCAACTGAAGAGATCCTTGAACATGAAATATCTACTAAATGTATACTATGCATTAGTTCACTCAACTCTGAACTACAACATTATGTCATGGGGAAATAGCACAGAGATGGAAAGACCTTTTGTAATACAAAAAAGGATAATTCGTGTAATATTTGATCTTTCCTATAACAAATCTTGCCGAGATACTTTCATACGGAACAACATCACTACTTTAACTAGTATATTTCTCATGAAAATCTTAATGTATGTTAAAACAAACATCAATTACTCTGAGAAAGTCGGAGATATTTCAAAGTCACTTTCAATGCCACCAGAAATTCTAAAAATTTGCGACTGGGCAGGGTTAATCACGCATTCTTTAAAAAAACTGGAATCTACAGAGGATGTTCTTATTTCAACTTGCTTCCTCACAATATTGAATGTTCGTCCGTAATAATCTTCAAAAAAGAACTGAGAAAGATTATGAACAAAGGTTGCTTCTACAATATACAAGAATTAGAAAATTATTTAAAAACTATAAATAGTAGTACATAACCAATAAATAAAACTTGGTAGCATAATTAGTGGATATAATTGTTTACCTGCACTCTAGTTTTGTGTAAGGTCAGTTGGTATATTGTAATGTTATCTGGACCTATATCTTAATTGCGATTTTCAGTTATACATAACTCACATCTGTGTATACTAACACACAGTGTATCAGTGTACACACTGTATTAGTATATACATGGATTTTATCTCCAGTATACTAAGTTTGTATCTGTTGTATGCTATTTAACTGTACACAATTCATATTTTATGTAATTTCCATAAGCTTACCTTGGTTTATATCCTTGTTGACGTTCACAATCCATGTCTATGGAATATGTGTTTAGTATATATACCTTATACATTTTACATTTCATTTTATGTATTTCTGACTTACCTAATCCATGTAATAATGGCAATGAAGGACAAAATAAATATCTATCTATCTATGTTCCTGTATTAATTTACAATGATCAGTACATTCTTTGAATGAAAAATGAGAATGGAAACTTTCTTTGTTTTTCACCACTTTAATTTGTTACTAACCTTATTGCAGTTTCGTCCTATAAGGACATTTTCAAACTTATACATTGAATATATAAATTTTTAAGTTTTGTAAGTGTATCAGTTTTTAAATTTTCTATATGTTTAATGTATGTAATGCTCAATCAACGTACTTTTTTTTGAAGACAGATCACTGGAATATAAAAATAACAATAAATTTCTAGGAGTCTTCATTGACCAGAATTTAAAATATGTGGATCATGTTGAACAACTCTCTAGAAAAGTCTTCTCTGGTTGTTATGCGGTTAGAGTGATTTATAAAGAATTGGGGTTCAACACTGCAAAGATAGCGTACTATGCACTCATAGATTCTCACTTACGCTACGGAATACCGTTTTGGGGAGCATGCAATTCAACTTTATTCAAAAGTCTACTAATTTTACAGAAAAGGGCAATAAGATATATAGGAAACCTTAAACCAAGAGGCTCCTGTAGAACCTTCTTCAAAAAACATAATATTCTAACGGTAACTGCATTATTTATACTGCAATCTGTGTGTTTAATAAATAAGCATATATTAAATTTTACTGCATTCTCCATTATAACACCCGAAACAGCAGACACACTCTGAAACTCACTGTGCCAACTAAAAATATCACCAGAGACTCCATATTTTACAACAGTGGAAAAATGTACAATCATTTGCCTATGGACATAAGATCTGCCAATATAAATAATATCCAATTCAGGGAAATTAGTCAAACAATTTTTATCTGATAGACCTTATTATACTTTGGATGAATATTTTAACGATAGCTTTTAACTGACTTACTCATATTTTTTATCTTTATTTATTTTCATATCTTTTATATTCTCCATTTTAACATAGTTTGTACCCATGCACCATTTTTATTTTAATTTCATTTGGTATGTATTACATTTTTTTAAGTATTTACTACCCAAGCTTTGTCTACAAGATTATGATAATGAAGCATATTATTATTATTATTATACGTTTGAAAATGTGCTTATAGGACTTAACTGCAGTAACGTTAGTTACGAATAAAAGTGATAAAAAACATAGAAAGTTTCTTTTCCTCAATTGAGCCCAAACGAGTTCAATGGGATTAAGTTCTGAATGATAAGGGGCCAAAAGCCTAATAATAATATTTTGTTTCTGTACCGCCTTGTCGACTTTTCTAACCATACTTTCATCAAATGGTATGTATTTTTGTTGAAGCCACTCAATGATGAAATAAAATAAAATGAATTTATTGTTCTTCTAATTGCAAGTTTGAAATTTTCATCATCATGGTTTTGGTTATTTCACAGCTTCATTTTTCCCTTACTCTTGAATTTATATATCGATGATTTTGAAACTCCAGTCATTTACGAACCAGAGTATCAGAGTATATGAAAGATTTAGGTGTATGAGAGCGACACATACATTGACAATAATAATGTTATTCAATGTCATTGTGAAATTTTCAATAAACAGTTTTACAAAAAGTAGCACGTGTTTCGTGCTACTTTTCAAGCCTCTTCAAGCGTGTATGTACGCCTAAATAGACACGCCCCACTTTTTGAAAAAATGATCCCTGTGAGGATTTGTAAAAATGAAAAATTTGATATTGATTTGGAATCTTCTTGAACTACCACGCTTCTGTTACTTTCAGGTCGGACGTATTGCCGCAGATCATCCTCTAGTTGGTGGACACAAGGGCCCCGTTTTGGATATTGCATGGTGTCCCCATAATGACAATGTTATCGCTAGCGGATCAGAGGATTGCGTGGTGAAAGTTTGGCATATTCCCGACGGAGGCCTGCACAAGACCCTCACCGAACCAGTGGTAAACCTTGTTTACCATCAGAGAAGGGTCGGGCTGGTGGTGTGGCACCCCACTGCATTGAATGTTCTATTGACTGCCGGTAGCGACAATCAGGTCGTTATATGGAATGTTGGTGGGTATTTTTCAGTGAAAGTTGTCAAAATTCAAAATCAAAGTAAAATCATATGTAATTTAACTTCTCGTTTTGATGTTCTTGCTTTTCAACAGATTGTATAAAAAATCTATGTGTCCGAATAGTTACTACGTTTATCAAAAACTTATATGGTTTCGATGTTACATTAATTACAATTTTTGCTGGTAAAGTACTTTACGCAATTTTAAATTTCGAGAATTGATGGTGTCGATGAATAAAATGAAAGCATATGCATTTAAAAAATGGTTACACATAGGAATAGTTATATTATGGAAGTTGCCTGCTACATTCATAAAATAAAAAACACTCTTCCCAGGCACTCGGACATGCATGTCTATGAAACCAGAAACAATCAGTTAATCTATCGAAATCATAACAATCTCCAAATAACATCAAATGGACCACTCTCAACGGGTGTAAGAGTTTACAATCAATTATCCACTGGCATTGAAATTCAGCCTACACACTTTATATTGTATATTAGGATTCCTAAAATAAAGTCTACTACTGCTACATCTCTAGGTCAGGCCAGGTACTTCTGGAACCACCATAGTAACAGATTAATTTGCGAAGGTAGTAATAATAAAATCAAAAAACACAGATTAGTATCAACCTACGCTGTATTTAACATAAACTATTCGACATGCCTTAATTTTTATCTAAAAAATCGTCCCCCACCGTTACTGAGCTAAAAATGGTGATCAAAAATACAATAAACTAATCTGTGGGAACTGACAATAGCATAAAATTGTGAGTGAATTAGCAGATTATGGTATAAGATCAACCCACTCTTTTTTTTCATCATATTTATTGAACAGAACAGTGTGCCGTTGAAACCCATTGCATTCGAAATGCCACAAGGTTCGGTTTTGGTCCCTCTCTCAATTATTCTCTATGTTAATGATCCGTATTACAACATGGCGCCTTTTTATCGTTTTGCTTTTGCTGATGACATTACTGTCACTGGTCAACTACTGGTCCAGAAGGAATAATCTCATGCTTAATGTAAATAGAACTCTCGCACATTCTTTTACTCCAAACTCCCGGGTTTGAATTGTGAACCGTTAACCCGCTATTGCCCAATATGAATGACAAATATCAAAAATTGAAACTGGCAATTTGGGTCGATTCAACATGAGATTCCTATCAAGGCAAAGGATAATACATCAAATATTAAGACTTGGAAATCCATCCAGAAAATAGATGTTGCTTCATTGAAATGGGTGGGTGTATGTGTGTTAGTTAATTCAATATGAACTACTGCACCAGTTTAATTTCCAATGTGAAGCAGATTATTTAATGATCAGTATGGAAAAAAGATAAGAATAATTTTTTATCATAAGTAAGTAATAAATATGATGTGCAAAATAGCTGTTTTTCAATCAAGGATAAAGGGTTATAATTCTACCATTTCCATTTATCCATTATTTCAGCATCCTCCAATATTCACAATGTTAGTTGCCATACTCCTTGGAAACGGATTGACCAATTTTTTTATGAAGTTTTATATGTATTACCGGTAGGTCTGAGAATAGATTGCAATCTATTTTTTATACCCCCAAGTAATTTTATTTTTATGTTTTTATAATGTGGCTTTAAAATTACATATAACACTCAATTTTTACCCTTTAATAACCAACCCCTATTTCTTAATAGCCGTTTTAGTAATTCAGTAATTTTTAATCCTAATTATAGACCGGTGTCACTTCTTATTTAGTAAACAGCAAGGAATAGGGATGAGAACAAAGCCGGTCTCCTGTTTCTCTCACAAAATAAACGCTTTCTCTCTCCCTACACAGTTTTTGGCCACTATTAGAGTGTATATACAGTTTGCGATGCCGCCGAAGCCATGAATTATCCAACAGAGTTTTTGACCTCACAACTGAAGGTTGGATCGCTCCGTAATTTGAATCCACCACGGCTGTGCAACGCCACGCGATTCGCCATTAAAATATTAATGACAAACGTTGTCGAAGCCAGTATTTCAAATGGTAAGTTCCGAGGTGAAAATATATTAATACCACCAATCCCTACAGATATGCCAATTTATTTTAAACGTGTGCGATTTCCAATTAAATTGGCAATTGCAATGGCTATCGATAAGTCACAAAGCCGGACAATGTCTGTTGGTGGCTTGGATTTGAGCACACCATGCTTTTCACACGGACAATTAAACGTGAAGTACTCTCAAGTGGGCAAACTATCCTGTTAGTGTTAGCTAAATATAGACTAACGAAAAATACTGTGCACACTATAGCATTGAGGGATTCATGTTATTTGTAAGTGTTATTGTTCTGATAGAAAAGATTTATGTGGCAAAACAATGCTTGTCGGGTCAGCTAGTTTATTTATATTATTATTCTTGCTATATCAGGTACTGGAGAAGCCTTAGTGGAACTGGACTGCCATCCTGACATCGTCTATAGTGCCTGCTTCAACTGGGATGGATCGAAGCTCTTGACTACCTGCAAGGACAAAAAAATAAGAATCATCAATCCGAGGACTGGTGAAGTAGAATGTGATGCTATTGCGCATGAAGGTAATATTAAAAACTACAAGTTTTTTATGTATTAGCAACAGCTATTGTTTTATTTGGCATGTTTATCACTCAGAACGCTGAAAACTTGATAGGTAGTTCAATTTATGTTTCTTTAAGGTTCGAAAGCAACAAGAGCAATATTTTTAAGGCACGGCTTGGTATTTACAACCGGCTTCTCTAAAATGTCCGAAAGACAGTACAGTTTGCGAACTCCTGATTGTTTGGGGGAACCTATCGTTATGGTAGAGTTGGACACTTCCAACGGTGTGATGTTTCCTCTCTATGATCCCGATACAAATCTCGTGTACCTGTGTGGCAAAGGAGATTCTGTTATTAGGTATACACATTTGCAGTCATAAGTTTTTATGGTAACCAATAGTCGTTATTGATTTTCTAGGTACTTCGAAATAACAGCAGAACCACCTTTTGTCCATTATATAAATACCTTCCAAACCCCTGATCCTCAAAGAGGGATCGGTATGATGCCAAAGAGAGGATGTGACGTCACTTCCTGCGAAATTTCAAGGTTTTATAGACTCAATAACTCAGGTCTATGCCAAGTTAGTATTGATTGTTCTGTTATAATAGAAAAACTTAAAATCCTCCCATTATTTCGTAGGTAATCACCATGACAGTGCCGAGAAAATCGGAACTCTTTCAAGAAGATTTGTATCCCGATACAATTGGAGATACAGCAGCACAATCTGCAGACGATTGGATCGGCGGACAAGATTCTGAACCAATCCTAATTTCCCTAAAAGACGGATACAAACCTCCTGAATCTAAATCTTCCTTATCGGTTAGCAAGAGAAGTAACGTTTTGGATAAAATGCCACCCAAAGGAGGAAAATCGGCACAGGCTCAGTCTTCTCCTGTATCGGTAAGTTATATTTTATTCATCAGTAATGATCTTTAAGAATGCCAAAGAAAATTTGACCCTTTGTAGCGTTTTTTNACAGTTTCATCTGTTTAGCATGTTTAGTTTGTTGGTGAGAGGCATGAAAATTAAAAATGTTTTGCGTGTTCGGCAATTTTCTTCTATGGAAAAAAATGGATCAAAGAGTTTGCAATCAATGTTGTGTGAAATATTGAATCAAATGGTCAAAAACACTTGAAATGTTGACAGTGGCATACGGTAATTGTATTCTGAATCAGAAAAATGTTAACAAGTGATCAAGCTATTACAGTCCACTTAGTTGGATTAACATATTTTTTTATCGCAATCATAATAGCTTGTTTTCTAAATCCCAGAATTTTTCTTTTGGGTTTCCCAATGTTTATTGAAATGTACGCGTAATTTTTAAAGCCACTTGCATATTCAGTTTTTTTTTATCAAGACCAATACTTTGGTATATTTTGGTGTATTTGGAAGAACTATAAATTTTGAGTCTCCGTCTTTCTGAAAAATTTACTAATTTTGAACTGTCTGTCAGAAACATCTTCAGATTCTCGAGCAGGTGTATATTTGCAGACCTAGGACAGAGATAACAACTTGCTTATGCGACCATATTTCAACGCAATTGATTCATGTGTGGAGAGATTGGCGGAAACAAACCTAATAAAAATATTCTAGCATAACCAGGTTGTTCAGGAAGCAGTTTCCTTCCACAATAAAAATGCTTTGTCATGAATACATTTGAATAGAGTGTGTTCTGCAATTGCTGATTTGTCTGTCTGACTATAGTAGCAACTTCTTTCATGCTCTGTTGAGCGTGTTTATTACTTAATTAAGTGATTTCGATATAGAAGTTTCGTATAAAATAAAAGAGAATAGAATATGTTTATTTCATCACATTAACTACAAAATGTACAATAGTGGCAAGTTAAACTGACAAACAAGAATAACAATAATTGAACAATAGTTTTTATACATGCTGATAACATCTAAAACAAATATTATGGAAAAAAAACACATGTAGCATTATAAAATATTAATGTTTCACAATTCGTCGATGGAGTAGAAACAGTGCCTTAATAGTGAGTGCTTAACTCTAGCCTTGAAACGGTTATAACTCAGACCGGTAATGTCTGTTGGTATTTTATTTTATAAACATAAGTTGAGTGAATTTCGAGCTAATAGATCCAGTCTATAAAATTGAGGCCTCAGGTGTGCACCTCTTCGAGTAGGGTAATTATGAAAGTCAGCATTTGTAAGGTACTTAGTATTGTTTTTGTGAATATCTAAAATGTTATAAAGTATGAACATACTTTATAACTCTCTCAGAGGAAGTAACTGAAATATTTGCTGAATATTTCTCAAATGCAGCTGAAAATTCCATATCAAACCACTTCGGGCAAAACTTATCTCTACCCTGTACTGTTACTGAAAATATTACCATTATTGAACCGTTTAGCAGGTGTATATTTGCAGACCTAGGACAGAGATAACAACTTGCTTCCGCGACCATATTTCAACTCAATTGATTCATATGTGGAGAGATTGGCAGGAACAAACCTAATAAAAATATTCTAGCCTAACCAGTTTGTTCAGGAAGCAGTTTCCTTCCACAATAGAAAGGCTTTGTCATGAATACCTTTGAATAGAGTATGTTCTGTAATTGCGGATTTGTCTGTCTGACCATAGTAGCAACTTCTTTCATGCTTTGTTGCGCGTGTTTATTACTTCTTTCAGTGATTTCGATATAGAAAGAAAAACAACCACAAGGAGTTTGGTATAAAATAGAATAGAATATATTTATTTCATCACATTAACTACAACATGTACAATAGTGACAAGTCAAACTGACAAACAAGAATAACAATAATTGAACAATAGTTTTTATACATGCTGATAACATCTAAAACAAATATTATGGAAAAAAAAGACACATGTAGCATATTAAAATATTAATGTTTCACAATTCAAATATTCGTCGATGGAGTAGAAACAGTTTTTGAAATAGAGGACCAAGTGTTCTCTGTAAGAAACATTGGCTATGATCCGGATTGCTTTTTTGCACACGAAAGGCTTCAATTGCATGTGAAGACTGACCCCATAAAAGTATGCCATATGTTAGATCGCTGTTGAAAAGAGAAAAGTATGTCTGTAATATCATACTTTGAGTAAGACACATTTTCAGCTGTCTTAGTAGGAACAGTTGTGTAGAAAGTTTTTTGCACAGACCAACAACACATGCTTCCCAATTTAACATGTCATCAGTTTTAAACCCCAATAAATCTACATGTTACTTCTTCGTTAGTTGTCTATTTAATGGTATTATAATTTTCTGTCTTATCCCTGTTTAGTTTGAGATAATTTGAAGTAAACCAAGTTTCAGCATCATCATCTTCCTAGAACATAGTTCCATTGAGTCATTAACATTTGAGTCTGCTTCTACTGTTGATACATCATCTGCATAGCAAAAAGATAAGCTTGGGAGTAAGAAATTAAAAATATCATTAATATATACCACAAAAAGAGTTGGTCCCAGTATGGACCCTTGTGGCACACCGTGCAAAATGGATCTACATGTGCTAGAATTTCTAGATGTATAAACAACTTGTTTTCTTCCACATGAGTAGGTTTTCATTAGGTCTAAAGCTCCAGTACTCCAGGTGTACTTAATGAATCTCTGGGTTCTTTAGCTAACCCAAGACTATCATTTTTGTGGACTTGAAAATGGATTTAACTACAACTTTGGAAAGAAACTGTTGATACCGTCTCATCATCTAAGTATCAGGTTATGAGTGACCTGATGAATATCATTCTGTTTGGAAATGATTTTAAATTCGAAGGTTTGAAAATAAAGAACACATTTCAATGACAAAACAATATTTATTACAACTTGCTCAATTCAATCATTTATAAATAAGAAAAATCACTCCACGAGTATGTCTTGATTCCCCATCATTTCTAAACATGTTATGACACTTTTGGTTTTCAAGTCTACCATGAGCGATCTCAGTCTACATCTTCCTTTAAAAGGAAACGAGTTTGTGATTGCGCCGCCATATGAAAACACGTGTTGTTTCATGCTATAATTGCCCTGAAATCAGATGGAAATATTCATATGTGTGATGGGATTGGCTGATACTTGATGACAATCCATTATTTATTCAAGTAACGCCTAATTGTGAGATCTCACAATGAAGGCTTACTTGAATAAAATATTCATTTTTGAAACAAAACTCTCACAGCAGGTATTGGACATCTATCGGGATGTTTCACTCCTAAAGCCCGCATAAAATTGCTCCATATATCTTTATAATATCTCAGAAATAGTCTACATGCATCAGGTATCATTGGTATGAAGGGTAGTTTTCGCCATCCTTCAGGAGTCCATTTTTCCAGTTCCAGTATACCCTAAAATAAGGTATAAAGTCACGAAAGGTCATATAGTTCAAATGAAGTAAAGGATATAACATGGCAATCTGCAGGCAATTTAAATTCGTCACTCATAAGGATCCCATGAAAGGTAGGGTATTTATTGGTTTCTCTGAAGAGAAATATGTTTAAAATATGTTATTTCCGTTAACCGTTAACCAGTGAACAAAACAATACTATTTCTTCATGACCATGGTACATTCTCTTCAATAGAAGTACAACAGCTTTTTGTTTTTACAGGGTCATTATCAAATTTGTTTTTTCAAATACTTCTTGATTATTTTTGGTTTGTCCTATGTCGTGAGTGAACATACAGCTCTTCTATAGGATTGTAGTCTTTTACGGCTGGGGTCAATGTTGGTTACAATCTCCAAACGTTTCAACTGCAACTGCGGCAGTCATCTTCAGTGGCGTGGTAGAAGTACTCTTCTTGACGTACGAGGTCCGGCTATTAAATAACGAAACTGCGCGCCTGAAGGGCGCCCTAGAGGGGTGGGGAAAAAAGAGTAGTGCGTTGTGTATCTGGAAATCTTCTCTATTCAAGTACCAAAACACGTTATCGTCACTATTATAGTATTTGTGCAGTAGCGGTTTGAAATGAACGTGGTTTTTTCTCGTGCTGTATCGCGCAACGTATCAATCTCAAATTTCTCGTTAAATTTAGAAAAACACCGACTTAGTGCTATAAATTGTTGCAACAGGCCTATGGAGACAATTTTCCATCTCGTGCGCGTGTTTTTGAGTGGTGTAACCGCTTCAGTGAGGGCCGAGAGAGCACCGAAGATGACCAGCGCCCAGGTCGCCCTGCCACTGTGTCCACTCCGGAAATAGTGACTAAAATCAACCAAATTGTGCGTGCATATCGTCGAATAAGCATCCGGATGATATCCGAGGCTGTAAACGCCGATAAAGAAACGGTTAGAAAAATTTTACTCTGTCTATTTGTTAAAAAAATATGTCTTTCCGTTAATCAGCTGTCGCTCCCATACAAACGACAACTCCCAGAAGTTGAGAAACTTGTGTGAGCTGAGTACTAACGAGGTCTTACCTTTTAACGTGTGATTTCTAACACGGTTGCAGAATCATCCCAGCTTCAACCAGATAAATTCTCTCGAGAAAAATATCTTGTCGAGGCAGGAATCGAACCCACGGTCTTCCGATCGTGAGTCGGGCGCACTACCACCGCGGCCAATTCCACTGGAGGAATTACATATGATAAATGTCTGTGCGAAGTTGGTGCCAAAAAACCTGACTCCTCCTGACCAAAACAGGTATGCTCAGATTTTCTTGAAAGCTTAGAAGAAGATCCCGGGCTGATGAAAAACATTATTACTTGCGGAGAAACGTGGATTTTTCAATACGATGTTGAAACAAAGCGGCAATCGATGCGTTGGAAGACGACTGAATCGCCCAGAATCAAAAAAGCAAGGATGTCCAAATAAAAATTCAAGGCAATGCTGACCGTTTTTTTCGACATTAACGGTATCGTGATGACTGAATGGGTTCCAGAGGGTCAGACTGTCAACCAGACTGACTATTTGTCAGTTTTGGCAACACTGCGAAAACGAGTTCGTAAGAAACGGCTCGAGTTGTGGAAGAATTACTCGTGGATTTTGCACCAGAACAACGCACCCATAACGCGCTATCTGTGAAGCAGTATTTGGCCGATAAACGCACTCTAGTGCGCGAGCACGCGCCGTACTCGCCAGATTTGGCACCGTGCGTTTTTTTTTTGTTTTCGAAGATAAAATCAGCTTTGAAAAGGACCCGATTTGAGTCGATGGAATCGGTAAAGTAAAAAATGGTAGAGCTCCTAATCGCCCTCTCCAAAGAAGACTTCCAGCACTGCTTTGATCAATGGAAAAATGTATGGAAAGGTGTGTGACGAGGGAGCATTCCAATGTAGAATAATTTTTATAATGAAACCCTTTTTTGTAACCAGTCTCGTTATTCAATAGCCGGACCTTGTGTCAACTGAAACTGAAGCTCTCATTTTTGCCTGATCTTCTCTCTTCCTTTCTGTCGAAGTTATCTTGGTGTTTGTGTATTTTTATGGCTTCCAAAAACATTCTTGTTGAATTATGATTCGACGTTGCTAGCCCCTCGGTATTTTCGAAAAATATCTTGTGTTCCCTTTCGGACAGTGCATGTTCAGCGACTGCTGACTTCTCGGTCTGTCCCAATCGATCAGTTTGATCTTCCTCTCGAAGATGATCAATTGGTGATCTAAACACGTGTCGAGGTGTTAAAATAACTGTTTGGTGTTGGGAAAGAAACTCCAGTAATATTCATTACTACACCAAAGGTTCCAAACAGTACATCACGAGTATGTAATACTCGTGATGAAATCTTTTCGATAAAAAAAACTTGAAGAACTTACAGACGCGTCGTCTAATGTAGTCTTTGACAAACTCCACTCCAGCTTGAAAAATGTTTCAATCAAATAATATCGATAACTGTTCGTTTCAAGTCCCTCGTTCATAATTTTTTTTTCAGAAGTTCACCGTCTTTTTTGAATTAACGAATTTAGCTTCAAGAAATATGTGAATATCATCCACGAATTCAAAAAAGTTCAATTTGGAAAACGATAAACAATTATTACCACCTACCTCTAAATTGCAAATGATCGATAACATCTGTAGTCTACTCGACCTTATCGTTCAACATAATAAGTTAGGGTCTTGCAACTGAATGGACTAGAGTCTTCGTTCTCCAGAAACGCATGATAAGAATTATATATAATATGAAACCTGTTGACTCATGCTGACAAGTATTCAAAAAAAAGGGTATATTGACATTTCCCTGCATATACATTTTAAATATATTACTATATATACATAACTAGTACTATGCTGCTGTATCGCTGCTGTTCCAATGTTTTGGCAGAATCAGAATCAACGAACTTAGGCGTACGCAGCGTTATAAAACAGTGCTTTCAAAAAAATTGTTCTACAACGCCATCTAGTGGCGAATTACAGAAAAATTGATAGCCTAAAAACCTTCTCCATTAAAAATTACTTATACATGTCAAGTTTCATCGCGATCGGTTGAGCGATGTAAAAGTTTATCACTTACCAACCAATCAACCAACCAACCAACAAACATCCATTTTTATATAGTAGATACATAATAATAAAGATAACTTTCGCATAGAAAAATTCAACCACACATATTTTACAAAATTACCACAACATAATGGACGTACACTGTATAATTATATATCAAATAATGTAAAAGAATTATTGCAAATTGAAAACATGCTGACAATTAATGCTTTCTACGCCATTGAGATTTTCTGAACTATTGCAAAAATGCCGAATTTATTTTATTACATATATTACTTACTGTATTTGTATGTATTTATTACTTTCAAAATAATCTATTGAATTTCTAATTTTTTGAAAAATTGTGTGTGGTTTGCCATATCCAAGTCCAGCTTGGCTACAAATAGTTAATGAAGAATCTGAATCTGAATGTTTAATTTATGTATCATTATGTAAAAGATTTTGAATATCAATTGACTTTACAAATCGAAATGTACATTTAACAAAGTACTCAAATTATTACAACTACTCCCCTGGCTGATATCACGAAGGGCGTTAGTCATAGGTGTCAGTTCATTAACCCACAGTATTGGTTAGTTTGGGCTTGTTTTAACGAATTGTTCTTGTAGATAATTTTATTTATAGCCAGTCTTCAAGAATACAATACTTACTTTATGTAGAAAGTACTCAGTTTAATAGTCAGTACAAGTTTAGTAATTTTTTTGTTTATAAGAAATCCGCGTCAGAACTAAATTTGTTTTCAACATACCCCAACGGTCTTATCAAAGGGTCTCTTGAGCTCTAGATCAAAACTCAAACTCTTTGTGGTCTTATTTATTTTGGTGAACTTGAGATTCTTGCATGGACATTCCGGCGCGTATGAGTCACTTGAACATGCCATCACATTTTCCATTTCATAGACATGTTTAGATGGCCCAGCCTGAAAACATCATTTACTATAGAGAGTAACTTGTTCGATTGATGACCTATTTATTTTGTAGAAATTCATATTGAGTATTGGATACATGACGGAATTTGTCGATACTTGATGAAAATCTATAACTTATTCAAAAAACATTTCATTGTGAGATATTCTGTAAACAGTTTTACAGAAATGCAACACGTGTTTTGTCATACAATGGCTTCTTCGGGCGTGTCTTTACTAACAGTTAGTAAAAACACTTAATTCCATTTCTTCTTTGATCCTCTTTTTCGACAGCAAAACACTTCCAACTTTTATGCCTCTCACCAACAAACTAAACCTGCTAAACAACTGAAACTGTGAATATATATTCGAGACGGCTGTACCAACATAAAAAAATAAAAAAACACTAATCGAATGTTCGTAGCCCGCGAAATTTGAACATTCACCCTATTTTTTAAACAGACCATATTTTCCAATCTCATGTAGCATAAAAAATATATTGTTCATTTTCAAGCACGTTTAAATGTTTATCTTGTTCCTTCTCTTCAACTCGTTCAAACTGTTTTTTCAAGATTACTCGACAAAAATTTTCCGGAAAATATTTTTTTTTAATTTTAAATTAGTTCTGAAACTCACCTCGATTCCTATTATTTTTTCATAGATGAAATAATTTATCGAAATTATCAATAATAGTTTTCTCCATGCTGAAGTGAACATGTTGAACGGTTGATGTAATATATTGCGAATCTAACATTAAACATGAATGAAATCTCCATCGAAAATTCATGATTAGATCAAGATTTTTTTCGATATAATTAACACTATCTGAAAATCCGCTCACCGTGTAATGACACAGTTAATGGTTTTCTAATGGTTATTCACATTTATTTTGATGAAAAGTTATTGTCAGTTCCGGAACAACGGTAAGCTTTTAGTAATTATAACAACAATGAATCGTTGTTCTTACATTTTTCCAGTTATGAAATAAAAATGCCAAATTATGATTCTCTATAAGAACATATTGAAACGAATTAAAGAATTAACTGTCTTAAACAAAATTATTTTTTACAATATTTCACTATCGCAACTAATTTTCATGTACAACACTTAACAACTAACGCTTAATTTATCTTCACTTTTCGAATTCTTTGTTAACCGTTCAATTCGCTTTCTAAATACAGACTCTCTCTTTGGACGGGAAGCTAGGCTTATATACCGGTAACGATCGTTCTAGATTTATCTAAAGGTCTCAGTACTCGCCTAGTATTTTCCCGGCGAGACAGACTGCTTCTTTCGCGGTGATGTCATGCGTTTGCTGGCTGAGATATCGGTCAGGGCCGGCTTTAGATTCGTTACAATATGCTTTCACGGTCGTAATTAAGGAGAAGAAAATCCGGGCTGGTAGGCCGTGGCCTAATTCAAGCTTGAAGTGCCAAACGTTTCGTCAGCTACTGCGGCAGACATCACTAGTGGCAAAGCTACCGGACTGAGTCATGGCCGGTGGGAGAAATCGTATCTGCTCTAAGTTTGGGTCGGTGTATGACAAAGAAAGTATTGGAAAACAAGGAATAGAAACGGTTTTTTGCAATTTTACGTAGTATGGATGTTTACGGCTTGAATAATGTAACAGACTGATAACAGATTTCTACACATCTACTGTACATCTTGAGGAAGGGATTCTCACTGTCAGCTGTACGAGGTTGCCTTTTATATTTCGGGATTAGAGACCAAAAACAAATGTTAATCATCGAAAACCACTTTATTGTTTTTCAAAATATTCCCCATGAAGATCTATACACTTTTGCATGCGTTTGAACCAATTATCGAAGCACTTTTGCTACTCTGATTGATCGTATTTAAGGAGAAGAAAATCCGGGCTGGTAGGCCGTGGTCTAATCCAACTTTGAAGTGCCAAACGTTTCGTCAGCTACTGCGGCAGACATCACTAGTGGTAAAGCTACCGGACTGAGTCATGACCGGTGGGAGAAATCGTATCTGCTCAAAGTTTGGGTCGGTGTATGACAAAGAGAGTATTAGAAAACAAGGAATAGAAACGGTTGTTTGCAATTTTACGTAGTATGGATGTTTACGGGTCGAATAATCTAACAGACTGATGACAGATTTCTACACATCTACTGTACATCTTGAGGGAGGGCTTCTCATTGGCAGCTGTACGAGGTTGCCTTTTATATTTCGGGATTAGAGAACAAAAACAAGTATTAATCATCGAAAATCACTTTATTGTTTTTCAAAATATTCCCCATGAAGATCTATACACTTTTGCATGCGTTTGAACCAATTATCGAAGCACTTTTGCTACTCTGATTGAGGTATCTCCAAAACATGCATTCTGAATGCAGCAACCGCTTCTTCAGGTGTCGAAAAACGTTGACCTCTCAGTTTGTTTTTTACGTGCGGGAGTAAAAGAAGTCATTCGATGCCAGGTCAGGACTATACGGCGGATGACTCATCAAATCGATGTTTTGGGTGCTCAAAAATGCATTTGTTTGAGCCGATGTGTGAGAGCTCGCATTGTCGTGGTGAAGAGTGATCCGTCTTCGGCGGTTGCTTTTCCTGATTTCTTGGAAGTCATAGACGTGTTTCGAAGCACTGCGATCGTATTTTTTGAGCATTTCCTTCGACCAATCGACACGAGCTTTTTTTGAGCGGTTGACAAATTGTGTGGGAAACAACGCAAACAAATTTTTTTGACAGTCAAATGTTCATGCAATATTGAATGTATGCTGGTCCCACTAATGCCTAAGGTTGTCTCAATCTCACGATAGGTCACATGACCATGAAAAAGAAGAATAAAAACATTCTTCCTCTTCAATTTTTAATACTTCTTCTTTAGTTCTTTCAGGGATTTCAAATCATTTTATATAATATCAAACAATGGAAGTCTGAACTAACGAAATTCATCATGAAACATGGGCAATCACCTTCAAACAAGAGAGCTGTTTGTTTGGCATAATCAGTACCGGTCAAGCTGTCCTTGGTTGTGGAAAGTCATCTTGAGTTCAAACATGTTGGAACCCAGCTCCCTTACCCTTGCGGCTGATTTTTGTCAGAAGGACAAATGGATTCGTGACTGAGAGGTGGCGGCGGTATGAAAGTCCTTAGACATCAGTACAGCTCTTCACACTGTACTCCAACCTGGCTGGGGTGGGTTGGATTAAAAAATTGTTCACCCATTAACGGAGGACATGAGGGCCTCATTTGACGGCCTTCTATATCGGGAGGGGTCTTCTACAGTATAATCAATAGCTTCCCTAACTAACGGGTTTTTGTGAGTTTCTGCACAATAAAAAACTCGCTGCAGAATGAAGCCATCCGCAGCTGCAAATCTCTGCGGATGGCTTCGTTCCGCACGAAACACGGAGCATTCACAATCATCCGTATTAGCTTATTTTGTGATCTCTCCAGGATGGAGATGTTAGACGGAGCCGTTTGTCCCCAGACGCCTGAAGCATACATGATGACAGACTTGAACATCGTATTGTAGATGGTAATTTTGTTTTTAAGGCTCATTTTAGATCTTTTGTTGATCAGAGGGTACAGACTAGCTATCCGGCCCCCGGTCCTTGTTTTAACGTATATAATTTGCGGGTTCCAGGTGAGCCTACGGTCTATTAGAATATCTAAGTACTTTACCTGCGCTTGCCAGTCGATCTCCCTTCAAGAGATCCTTACTTTTCTGGCCAGAGAAGATAACATTCTTCTTGTCCAGGAGCCTCTTCAACAACTTGTTAGTTATTGAGTCCACCCTCGGAGCTTTCTTGGCCTTTAAGGCTCTGATGTATCCCTTCAGCTCTTCCGCAGAAGCTGGACGGATGTCGTCGTCGTCATCTTCCCTGAGGATTCGGTGAACCCGGTCTTCTAACAGCATATCGATGTCGGTGTCGACGTCGTCAACGTTAAGCTGAAACTGACGCCGACTCGAATGAAGACAACACAAGTACTTAATAAAAATCACCACATGAACGCAAACGAGATATAAGTGGAACCATCTATTGATGTTGGGAATGTTAATTAATTAGGAAGATGGAGTTTGATTCCTTTATTGCTTTCTTTTATTACAAAGTTCAAAGTTGTTGATGGGTTTTATTTTTACCTACAAACATACATTGTTTTTCTTCTTACTTGTGTCAGACGTCAACGTGCAACAGTGTTGCCATCGGTTCTAGTGAAACTTGGAACGATAAAGATATACACTGGAGTAAAACTAAATAGAAAGCGTTAGATTTGATTGTACAACTCAACACTCCCTCTCAATCAAATAGCGCTAAACAAAAAACATTAATTGTTAACTAATAGACCTATATTGGTTCTGTGTTTGATGAATAACTCACCAGCAAGTTAAGATATCTGCCATTTGTTCGGTTGTTGGGGTATATTCAACTAGAATTTGTTTATTATTAACTAAATCCTTAATACCTTTTTTTGGAAAACTTTATTCAGGGCAGTCCACATTTGGTAAGAAGTAGGTTTTTCCTTGATGTACTCAAGATGGGTATTCGAGACACACTGGAAAATTATTGATTTACACTTTTTGTCATTCTTTGTGAATTTTTCTGAGGGTGTGTCTGGCTCACTTTCTATACATTCTTTCACCTCTTGTTGATCAAGAATTTTCTCCATTCGTAACTTCCAATTGTCAAAGTTCTTCCCATCGAATTGAAAAATGCCGTATTTTTCCATTGAGTTAGCCATGCTCAGATGTGTGTTTAACAAATACGTGTATTACCAAAAAAACTCCACTATCACCAGAAACTATCTGGGCCCATAACCTGTTGGGAATGTTAATTAATTAGGAAGATGGAGTTTGATTCCTTTATTGCTTTCTTTCATTACAAAGTTCAAAGTTGTTGATAGGTTTTATTGTTACATACATACATACATTGTTTTTCTTCTTACTTGTGTCAGACGTCAACGTGCAACAGTGTTGCCATCGGTTCTAGTGAAACTTAGAACGATATAGATATACACTGGAGTAAAACTAAATAGAAAGCGTTAGATTTGATTGTACAACTCAACAATTGGTTTGACACTCTAGTTAGCTTGCCAATTTTTTGTCGGCGTTGGTGGTTTGGCCAGTCTTTAAAACCGACAACTGCTTTAGTAGAACTGTTCTCGTTACCATCTTTTAGTATTTCTATTAAATTCAATTGAGTTTATTGTCTCAAGAAACAGATAATGCCTACAATTAGGGACTATAAGTACGAATGCGTGACAACTGGAACCGGTTGTCGCGCAGGTAGCTATAGTTGTCTGCGTGGTCATCTTATAAGGAGTGTAAAAAACAATGTTTAATAGTAGACAGTCCCCTCGCTACTGACTACCACCTCTTTCCGAGTTGGGTTGTTTCGTTCACGATGTTACGGGTAGGTAGCGAATGCAGAGCGGTGGTACTGTAAAGCAGCCAGGATCGCAATCTGTCCTATCTATTTATTTATTCTTGTTGTAACTATTATACCGATTCATATTGTCTCATCATCCGACTTCCTTTCTAGGACAAGACGCTCCAAGAGTTCGCCGACGAGATCCGCAAACTGAAGGCGATGATCGTGAAACACGAGAACCGCATCCGCGCCCTGGAGGCAGACGTGGCGCTTAGCAAGGCGGGGAACGCCGACGACGACGGCGCCGGTGGCGGCGACGGCCTCAACGCGCAGCCCAACCTCGCCTCCGACGAGGTATAACGTTGCTCAAAACCTCGATGAGCATTCTCATCGAACGGCTCAAACTAACATGTTGGAAGGTGAGTACGAAAAATAATATTGGGTTATTTCGAAAGTTTTGTTCACTTTTGCCGCAGTAACATAAGTCGATTAATTCCGTCAGCGTACAAATTAGGTGCTCGGCATTCGATAAAGTCGACGAAGGCCAAATTTGCCTGGCGAAAGTTCTACTGATGAGAAAGTTCAAAGTGCTTGAAAAGATGAGGGTTGACGAAAGGTCTGGGTAGTGTGATATTATTTGTTTGTTCATATTTTCTTATCCCAATCATCGGAAATGCAACACTCTTTTCTTGAAGCATGTTTCACCAATCAAGTTAGCGTCTTCAGGAGTTTTATCCTCCTAAAGACACCAACTGATTTGTATATAATCTGAGTTTTTTCGAATTGCATTTTTTTTGAGTAAGAAGTAATTTGTCATAGTAGATCAAAGTAAGTTATGTTCTGGTAGCTTCAACATTTAGAAGGTACAATTCAAAAAATTAAAAAGCATAAAGTAATACAATGTTGAACGTAAGTAACTCAATAGGGAATGTTCCCCCTGACGAAAATCAAGTAGTTTTCATAAAAGAGCTCTAAAACAACGCATTTTAAACTTATCATTTCAACCTTTTTCTTTAAAAAATTATTTAAATACTTAAAAAAAGAGGAATGAAATAATGCATTCAACATTTAAAGGGATTCGTTTCTATTTCACCATTTGGCAACATCTGTTATAGCTAATAAAGGACAATGAATCTGTTACCTGTATGAGACAAACAAAGATGACATATCTCAGAGGCGTTCTTTTCTGTTTACTTATGTTCCGAGTTCCAAGACATTCTATGACATATGACATTTTGTGCACGTAACCTAGCTTCCTCTATATAAATAAATAACGAAACAACTGTTGTTTATGTGGCATGTGGAGGTGGTATTGAACTATAATTTATATTTTGCCTTAATTGTTGATTTATAAAGATAATTTTTCTTTTTTAAAGTAGAATATCTAGGTTCGCATAAATTATTTCAACTTTGATATAGGCGCTGTTGCCAATATGTGAATTGGAAACAAATCCCTTTAAAAATTAAAAACCCAACATTTCAAACATCAAATTGAATACTTTTCGAAGTGAATTTGAAAAACTCATGAATTAAACTCAACTTTATTTTGTTCAAACTTGCATTTGCTGTAATAACCCAAATTGAGGTACATTCCCCATTGAACAAATAAACCATCAGAGGAATTTTTCTTGATATATATTATGAAATAGACAAAACTCAAAAAAGTAACTTTATTTTTCTATATTATTCTTACTTTTTTCTAATTATTCTTTTTTTTTCAGGTATTGCACCTGTTTGGTTTCGCAATTGCTCGGCTTTTTATACATAATCTAATCTAAGTCCCATCATTTTATTTATTTTTTTATCATTTCAGATATCGAATCATGAATGCACCATGTTTTCATGGTCATCTAACTTATATCATCAACATAAAAGTGCTCTTAGCTGTCAATGCAAAATGTGTTAATATTTCTACAAACGTCACAAGTAACAAATGAAAAATTTGTTTGATCAAATACATCGATTTGTTTTGTGATGAAACATATTAGGGTTTACAAACCTGATATCATCCTTGTACATCCCTTATATGTTGAATCATTTATATAGTTTATTTCAATATGCATGGAATTTTTGATAATGTGTAAAATAGGATCTTTAAATAATGCTGATATAACTAACTATTTATTTTTCTATTCTATCTATGTGATAAAACAGTATATTAGGTGTATGTGCAATTTGCAATTGACTGAAATGTTTTTGGCCAATGCTCTACAGGGTGTTTTCTAAATAAAATATATGACCCTTAGTCTTTCATGAATTAAAAATAATAATTCGATGTTGAAGTCAAATATCTGCACTTGTTTATCAATACATATTCCAATTGAGGAAACTGATTCTATATTGTACGATTTTATCTAGGTAATGCAAATAGGCAATGTCAGAAGTTCCATGGATTTTTGTGTGCTGCTATCCTAACAACGAATAATGGTGTACATAAATGTATAAATAGTTACTGCATTTTTTCAGTCAACTAATAATATTAATGATTGTACTGTTACTATTTTTACAAATACAAAAACATTGGTGAAGAGTATTTTCTTTTCCCTTCCTTCGCCGTCCTATAAATGGATTGATGGTAAACATTTTTCAAGTACAAGTTGGCCAATTGGCCGGAAAGCCCTAGATGCCGAGGCCATCCCATGAAAAAAAGAAGTAAAAGCCTAAATTTATGAGTTGTAAAAAGAAGAAAAGTTGAATAGATGATATTTTTTCAATTTGAGTGCCACTTAGGCATCATCAGCACCGTGCAGACAATATTATTATATCCATCTCAACATATTTTTCAATGCAAATAAGGTAATAAACGAAAAATAATTATTTTCTAAAACATCAACCATCTGAATAAAGTCAAATATAGAAATTTTCAATGATTATTCAATTTGTATGCAGAGTTTATGAATCAGACAAATTACTGACTAATTGAAAGATTCAGTGGTTTATAACAATTCGCCTTTTAATACACTTCGGCAGATCGTCTATTAATTGACCTTTGTTTATTTTTCAGATTGTGGAAAGTTTAAAACACCACAAAAAAGTAAGAGACATTGGTTCCTTCACAAAAAATGTCTTTCAAAGAAAGTATGTAAATATATACAGAAAATGACTATATCAACCAAAATTTGAAGCTTAACGTCTAGAGACAGCTTATCAACTTTCAAATTACGAGCACATTGTCAGTTCATACTAAAAGTAACCATATGTTCCAAAAGTAACCATAAATGTGGTTTGATGGCTCTAAAATAACCGCTATTTTGGTACTGATGAAAAACCGGATAGATTTGGAACACGGTTGTGACCCAAACGTCAACATACTGAATAACCCAGGATTTTTTTTCGAATATGGATGATAACAGAAATTAATACTGGAGACATTTATCGTCAGCTTATGAAATTATCTAATATCCAATGTCAAGGGACCTTTGTAATTTTTATCTTCCTCCGATTCATTACAACTTGAAAGTAATTCTTGAAACGAGGCTGTCAATCTCAATATTCATTAGAATCTCAGAACTTTCATCATCAGTATAATGAGTATCATTGGGAGAGTTGAAAGAAATGATCTTGATTTTAAGTTCTTTCATTATTCTATACAAAATTTCAATTATTGAGTCGGAAGAAATAGCAAAAACTGGATAGGAAATGAAAGATCATAATAACCATGGTTCTTACGAACTCTGTATAAAAATGACGTGATGTTTCTGGTATTGAAACGATAGCAAATAGACATAATACCTGAAATGATCTTCAAAAGTAGATAGCTGTCTCTAGATCATTGAAGGATGCTTTTCCTTACCTCCCATGTCTCTTCTTTCGAAAACGTTTTAGAGCTCTTCTCATACAAGGAGCATTGTTTATTTCATGCAAATTACTCTGTATAAAAATGACGTGATGTTTCTGGTATTGAAACGATAGCAAATAGACATAATACCTGAAATGATCTTCAAAAGTAGATAGCTGTCTCTAGATCATTGAAGGATGCTTTTCCTTACCTTCCCTTACCTCCCATGTCTCTTCTTTCGAAAACGTTTTAGAGCTCTTCTCATGCAAGGAGCATTGTTTATTTCATGCAAATAGCCTGCTGTGATTTTCTGGCAGTATTGAAAAATTCAACTCAAAATCTATTTTGTGTTTCGTTCACGATAATTAAAGAACACAAATTGAATGAATACGGTAAGTTGGAGAATCTGAACAAATGGTAGAAAACATTTTCGGCATTTCTACCAGCCAGGTAACAAATATAGTATTCTTACTGAAGGTTACGGAAATTTGTAGAAGTGCCATGAAAATATATATTATTTTCCATATTTCTCATGTGATTTTACCATTGTAAGTGGGTATTATGGAAAAAATAATGTTAATATTCGTAACCCTTCACGTTTTTGAAGCAGATTATTATAAAAATATCAAATATGAAACGAAAATATCCCATTTGGGAATCCCATAATCGGGATGCTACATATTCAAACTCATATTTCGAAACATTAAAAATTTCTTTCTTTTTTATTATCTCTGTGAAACACAAAACACCATAAAAAAGAAGTAGATATTTATTTTGAGATTTAGACAAGCCGCCATTTTGAATGGCAATATTTTAGTAAACTTGCCGAATAAAAGATTAAGTTACCATGAATTTACTTTGATATTTGCTACACAATTAATAAGCATATATTATTTTATTGATTAATATATTTGAGAAATTCATTCTATATTGAAATCACTAAGATTGAGCTTTAAGTGAAGTATAATGGTAAGTAAGTGAAGAAAAGTAGGCGTATTTAGGTTAATTCTTCGAGGTTATTTTCTTGTTTTTTTTGGCCTCAGAAACTTTGAACTTATTGAATAATCTGATCTTTTTCAGAGTTTTTTTGGATTTGGCCAGTCAGCTGAAATAGACATTTACTTAGATGAACAAGAAATTCGAAAAACCGCAGAAGTCAAAACAGAAGATGGGAAGAAGGAAAGACTATATCTTTATTATGATGGAGAAACGGTATCAGGCAAGGTCAGGATTTTTTACATTCAGTCATTGATAAAGCAATAAACAAATAATAAATCTTGTCCAGACTTTTCCAAGTTGAACATCATTAGCCATACTAATATTCTAAGGAAGTGTACTTGAGTGACAAATATTCCTACATAAGACATGTTAAATAAGGAGTTCCCCAAAGCACAGTGTTTGGTCCTGTTCTGTTTTTGTGTAACCTGCTAATATTTCTGGAACACCATTTACCATGGTGTTCTAGTTGAAATCAAATTACATCATTTTTATTTTTTATCAGTGTAAAATATTTTTGTGGGGGTAATGACAGTGGCATACGGTGATTGTACTCTGAGTCAGAGAAATGTTTACAAGTGATACAAGCTTTTCACAGAAGGTTGGAAAAATGTAAATGACTTTCGCCCTGGTGTAAGGTCAATAACCAACTCCATAATCATGCCTCAGCCACCGTATTCACCAGATTTGGTCTCCTGTGACTGGAAAAACGCTATTTTGAAGGAGTCAAGAAATTGAATAAATTATTATTTGTTGAGAAAAATTAAAATTCACTGTATTTGCTGAACAGTACTCGTGCATACATTTTGGTACAAACAAATACTTTTAGGTGAACATAAGCCTCAAAAAGCCAGGAAGCAAACTGGAACATCAAGGCATAAAAATCGAATTCATTGGGCAGATTGAAATGTTTTACGATCGAGGGAATCACCACGAATTTATATCTTTAGTCAAGGAACTTGCTAGGCCAGGAGATATGATCGCACATTCTAGTTATCCATTTGAGTTTAGTTGCGTAGAGAAACCATTCGAAGTTTATACAGGTGAGTCAACGAACCTTGTTTTAATATTCATGACGATGTGAGATTCTTATTATTCTGTAGGTTTATGTCCGATACAATCACTTTGTATGTGCTTATTTTTATATGGTACAACCATTATAAAGGTAAAATTATAGTTCAAAATACCTAACGGAGGTGTGAGATTTTCATCTTTACTTTTGAAATATTGATAACATATTCATTTGTCTCTTGGGTATTTGAGTAATGTCAAATTTTCTACTTTGAAAGCAATGAAGGTAATTGAAACTGTAATGTTTCTGACCATTGCTGAGAATTGCATGAAAGATACGGAGATGACAACTGGTTAACAGAGAAACCCATTTTTTTACTATAATATTGGAAGTCTTTCAAAATAAAGTGTAGTTTTCAACTGTTGCTTACAAAATACAAGATATGATCTATTCAATAATTCTGGGCTTTTCAATCACAAGGTTCGACAAAATCATACAATAAACTGTATTAATTAGTTTCAATATGGATTTTCATCAAGTATTGGCCAGTTCTATTTAATGATTTATTTTATAGTTCTATCATACAACATGTGTTGGTAATATTCATATTTGAATGGAAAATATGTTTTTTCTCAACATAATATTCAAAAATTGTGTTATGGTTTATCGATTTTGAAGTGTGACGAAAGGTAAAATTCCAAAAAAAATTAACCAAAAAAACTAATTCGATGTGATGTTTTTTTAAATTGTTATCAGTCCATTATCGTATTTCTTTTCAAATATTTTGGTTTACTGTTCATTTATGAATAGGTTCTGACCACAAATTCAGTTGACGATAACGCATTATTGATTTCTGATCTGTTTAATATTTAACATACTTGCAGTTCTCTCTAATTCAAGGTCATATGCTTCATTGTGTATTTTTATCTTCCTCCGATTCATTACAACTTGAAAGTAATTCTTAAAACGATGCTGTCAACCTCAATATTCATTAGAATCTCAGTGTAGTGTATGATTTCAGATGTTTATTTAGAAAATAATATAACTATTGACTCTTATAAATGAAACACTTGACGACAATAATATATGTTTCAGGTGACCGCTGTAAAAGTTCAGCTTAGTAGTTATAGAAAATGGTGGACGATCGCCCGTTCAAATTCAAATACCCAAAATCCAAACTCATCATCTGCCAATTGTCTCTCTCATTATAATAAAAGCATCGTTTAGTATTTTGACGTTTGGTTCACCAGTTTTCTGGAATCTGTGTTTCGGTGATTTTAGAAACACCAAACCTCATTTCTAGTTACTTTTCTAACATATCAATGCTGTCTCCAAATGTCAAATGCCAATACTGTCATATTGACAATGATGTAAGTAATCAAATGTGGATCAAACACTGAACTTAACTGTTCAACTTGATTCAGAGCAAAGAGTAGTGACTGATATATTTTAAATCTGCTTCAGTATGGAAGTCGGTAACAAGGTTGCTCATATAGAGGCTCAAAACTATCGTTACTTTTTCAAAAACGAAATTTTAGTCGTCAGAATTTAAAAATACTTTTCGCAATTTTTCTATTCATTCGCAAATTGCCTCAACGAACAGAAATAATAAATCGACTAAATCTATAGATGAATACTTGTTTTTGAATTTGAACAGTTGGTGTCAATTTGCATTTGTTTATTTTCGGATAATACCCTATTTTTGGAGAACTTTCATCATCAGTATAATGAGTATCATTATACTCTGTATAAAAATGACGTGATGTGTCTGGTATTGAAACGATAGCAAATAGACATAATACCTGAAATGATCTTCAAAAGTAGATAGCTGTCTCTAGATCATTGAAGGATGCTTTTCCTTACCTCCCATGTCTCTTCTTTCGAAAACGTTTTAGAGCTCTTCTCATGCAAGGAGCATTGTTTATTTCATGCAAATAGCCTGCTGTGATTTTCTGGCAGTATTGAAAAATTCAACTCAAAATCTATTTTGTGTTTCGTTCACGATAATTAAAGAACACAAATTGAATGAATACGGTAAGTTGGAGAATCTAAACAAATGGTAGAAAACATTTTCGGCATTTCTACCATCCAGGTAACATAGTATTTTTACTGAAGGTTACGGAAATTTGTAGAAGTGCCATGAAAATATATATTATTTTCCATATTTCTCATGTGATTTTACCATTGTAAGTGGGTATTATGGAAAAAATAATGTTAATATTCGTAACCCTTCACGTTTTTGAAGCAGATTATTATAAAAATATCAAATATGAAACGAAAATATCCCATTTGGGAATCCCATAATCGGGATGCTACATATTCAAACTCATATTTCGAAACATTAAAAATTTCTTTCTTTTTTATTATCTCTGTGAAACACAAAACACCATAAAAAAGAAGTAGATATTTATTTTGAGATTTAGACAAGCCGCCATTTTGAATGGCAATATTTTAGTAAACTTGCCGAATAAAAGATTAAGTTACCATGAATTTACTTTGATATTTGATACACAATTAATAAGCATATATTATTTTATTGATTAATATATTTGAGAAATTCATTCTATATTGAAATCACTAANAGGGTTATATTTCAATTTGAGTATTATCATGTAATGTAATAATAATAGTAGTAGAATATTTGAAATTGATTTTGCGGAAGTTCAATCATCATATCTTTTACAGGTGCTAATGTTCGCCTAAGATACTTTCTCAGGGTAACCATCATCCGAAGATTGGCTGATATCATGAAAGAAGTTGATATAGCCGTACATACTCTCTCAAGTTATCCAGAAATGAACAATTCCATCAAGATGGAAGTGGGCATTGAAGACTGCTTACATATTGAATTTGAATATAACAAGTCGAAGTAAGTCTTTGCACTTCAACAAGTTGCAATTTCTTTCTCAAGCAATTTAATCTGCAGAGTATGGTTTATGTGAAGTCCAAGTTCTATTATATGTTTTCAATGAGAAAATAGATGAATGACCTAAAAAATATAGAGTTGCAAAAATGCACATACACGTACATTGAATTGTTGTTGAGTACTTGGATATCAGTGGTATAAAATGAAAAATATTGATTTGTAAACTTGGGTTTCTCGGTTATTGAAAAATATTCAATTACTTTTACAGATATCATTTGAAAGACGTTATCGTTGGGAAAATATACTTTCTGTTAGTTCGAATAAAGATTAAACACATGGAAATAGCTATAATCAAGCGAGAAACGACCGGTTCTGGAGCCAACACGTACACAGAAAATGTTACAATCGCAAAATACGAAATTATGGATGGTGCACCAGTTAGAGGTGAGTACTGTTAATTTGGGTTTTTTTGAAGCCCAAAATTTACCAACCGAAAGCTGAGTCAAACCACATAGAATCGATAAGATTCAATAGAGAGAGATTCGATAAGATTTATTATTATTAAGAAGGAAGTTCACCGCTTACCTACAAGCATACTTGGATGATACTTTAATTTGTGAAGATTAAATTAGGTTGTTTTGAAAGTTTTCATGAGTACACTTTAAACTGTAATATCTTAATCGAAATAAGCGCAATTTGAATCAATGTACTTATACATAAATCCTTTATTAAGTCGAAGACTAATAATACAGTTCAGCAATCTGTTACCTGTATGAGACAAACAAAGATGACATATTTCAGAGGCGTGCTGTTCTGT